CTCCATGATGTCTAGTAATGCATATAGACCTAGTGAGTGTAACAGGTTTCGTAGTACATCCTCAACAGATAAGTTACAAGATGCAAGACAAACACGGTTTGTTTTACACGTGTGCAAGAGGTGCATACAGAAGTGAACTGTGAACCAGTGAGCAAGTTCAGTGATAAGCTAAATGTAAACTCCAGGTCTGACTCCGAATTGTGTGACGATAACGGTGTTGTGAAGAAGTCTGTAGTTGCAACTGGTAAGCCGTTGTTGAATAGAGTGTCACAGAATAGAGTTACTGCTTCAGAGTGCAGTTCTGACTCCACAAGTTTACAAGGTATACTAGTCAGAGTGAAGATATAAAACCTTTAATGATTTGTGAGGAGGAACCAAAATTGTCTACTTCTGTTATTAAAGAGTTTGAAAATGATGAAGTTGACGGTAAAGTGAATATTGTGATAATGATCATGATACTTCACAGTTGTCTTTGGTTGATCATGATGAGATGAGGGATATGCCTACTACTGCTAAGTTAAATAAAGGTTCTGTACAACTACAACGTGAAGTAGAATTGAACGCAGATGCAGTTCCAGAAGGTGTGCATACTTGTGAGACAGTCAGTGTAATTGATCAGCGTGTAGCCCACCTATCATCAGATGATAGTGCTAAACCCGAACTAGTAGTGAAAGACAGCAGTGGTGGTAATCTTGCAGTTGGACAACTATCTGAAAGCCGACAAGAACAGCTTCTGATCCACCGCTAAGTTCATCACCTTGTGTCACTCAGTCATCGTTGGTGCTGTCATCCACAATGAAACAGACACCCATCAACTCAAGTATCTTGTGCAATGACTATGGTAGTATCAGTTCGTTTGAAAGGACGAATATCAATGGTCAGTTTAGTGAGGATAAGCCAAGTGTAAACGAGAGAGTAATTGTTAAATTGACTTGCACGAATAAAGGCATTTCTAGTTTCAAGTTACTATTTGAATGTTATTATCTTTGGTGTAAATTACTCTGTTTCTACACTTGGTTGATGAGATATGTCGTGTGTTTGTTGGTCATCTATATTCTACGATACAATGACATGGGCGTGTTGCCGTTCAGATTTGAGGATATAGCTGATAGAAGGAAGTTAGCAAATGAACTCTGCGACGATTTTCCAACCTAGGGCGTCAACCTGAGAAGGGTTGTAGGCGTACTGCTGTAAGTCCTACAGTTCTTCAAAGGGTAGCGCATCAATGAGCAGTCCAATGTGCTTGGTGTGTGATTTGTACATATGTTCATATTGTATATACTGAATTGATATCATCTGTCATCTAGCTGTTGGTAATTCTGTTTGTGTCCGGACGACTTCCACTTGGATCATCAACCTGAGAAGGAATGTAGGCGTACTGCTGTAAGTCCTACAGTTCTTCAAGGGTAGTTTGTCGTGCCAGAATCCACAACATTTGATGTGTTGATTGTACATATGTTTGTGTTAAATAGTTGTGTGAGTTCCAATTGATGTAATTGTTGGTTAATCTTGTTTGTGTCCGACATTCCACAACTTACAATCGTCAACCTGAGAAGGGTTGTAGGCGTACTGGTGTAAGTCCTGCAATTCTTCAAAGGAATTCCACCAAGACATGATCGCGAGGTTGTTTGTACTGTTTGTATATACGTGTGGTGTGTCATATCAATTGGTGTTTTTGGATTCATTGTGTTTACTCGTTGTTTTCGTATCTTGTTGTTATTGCGTAATTTTGTTAAAATTTTCGTCGTGATTACTTCTGAAGTTGTTTCGAGTCTTCTACATCCATGAATGAATTGATTGATGTTAAGGACAGCAGATGGGTCGTATACGCCGGGGAGGCTAGGCTATTGCTGAGAATGAAATGCACACGGAGATAATTGTTAGCTGCGGTCCGACACGCCGGGGAGAAAGAGTGTAAACGACTGAGGCTCGCATGCGTCACCGCTACTAGAACTGAGGCAGAATGAGTGACAAGCGATTTCAGTGGTAATTGGTAGTGAGTAGATAAGAGGATGTGCGTAGAGTATCGTGAGGTGCTGCCATGGTCACGTTGCATTCTGCAAGAGTCATTCTAGCAAGTGGCGATTGTGTTGCAAGATGTCAAGAGGAGGTCTCTGTCTGGAGGCGCAGGTCGTCATTGATGTGTGAGATTGTGCTGTGGGTATGCTTGTGGTGTGTTGGCTTTTCTGTTTGTTTTCCATTTCAGCTCTGTCCGTGTGACCCAGGTTCTCGCAATGGCATCCAAGTCAACGTGCATTGGTCGTGAAGGAAAAAAGGGTTGGATCCCTTTTTTGCCGGGGAGTGTCAATGGAGTTGAAGATTGAACGATCAATTCTTGGTTGTTTGCTCAAAATCAACTTCCCCAATTTTCGCGGAGGCATCAATACGACAGTCATCGTCTCATCGGTCGCTGTTCAGAAAGAAGTGTGGCGACAACCGTCAGAATTAATATTGTGATTTATTATTGTAATATTTGTTCATAGACCTTAGTTTTAAAGCTTAATTTAATGTTGGATATATTGGTGTTACAATAAAGAGTTCTCGATTAGCCAATCGGTGTTTTGGTTTTGCGTCCGTTATTACTAAGCGTTTCTGAGAAACTTCAAGGAACAGCGTGAGTCCCAGCGTAGCAAGAGCTGGGCACTGACGGTTTACGAGACGTGGCTGACAGTGCCGTTATTAATCAATTTTTTGTTGTTGACTTCAACTAACAGATTGAAATTACTTAAAAAATCAGCCCTGAGTATGCCATGACCCACGTCGTCTACTATAAAAACCCATGTGTAACGCCGACGTAAACCGAGGTCCACTATAAAGGATCGTTCTCCATACGTCTGTAGGCTTGTGTGGTTGGCTTCCTGGAGAGAGTGTTTTCCTGGAGTCCGAGTAGATCGCCTGGATAGTGAAGAGGGATCACGCTGACTTATGCTCCTCTATCTACCAGGAATAAGGCGCCTGAAGTTTTGTTCCTCACATGGAAAAGGTGACTTGTTTGCTTGCTAGTAACAGCTTTCGTTATCGCTGTCCGGCCGAGACGTTTCCCTGAGCCTGATTATCTTCACTAAAGATGCACGGTTTGACACATATCAGGATTTGATATGCGAACTCCCTATAGTACCAACAAATATTACTGTTGAAAACATTTATTTCCCGATACGAATTTCAGTGTTTTAAAGTATATTACTGTCCCTAGAGGGTATGCGGGAATACTGTCCGGAGAGAGATCGTCGTTGTAATTGTGACTTTGCTTGTGAACTCCGTCTCTGAACTCGTCGATCAGACCCATTAGTTTCCAACTTTTCAATCCTTGTCGCTAAGTCTGCAGTTGCGGCGAGAATTGGTATGTCTGTCGTGGCTGTGGACTGACAGGGTGCTGCACTGTCAGATGCTATGTGACCTACGGTGTTATCTGATAAGACATCTTTAATACTATATACCCTGTCGGTTAGTGTGTCTAAGTCATACGAATTTCCTGAGATAATTAAAATTTGTTGAACTTTTCTGGGCAAACGTTGCAACCACATCTGTCCTAGCACGACCTCATCAACTTTATGGTGTCCAATTAACTGGTGCATGTGTCCAAGTAGCTGGGATGGTTTACGCGTTCCTAGCTCGCAGCCCGTGAGTAATTGTTGGCTTCTTTTTTCGTCTGACAAACTGGTGCGTTGCATAAGAAGGGCTTTAAGTTTGTCATATTGGTTTTCCATCGGGGGGCTTCGACGAAATCACTGATTTCTGTTAACACTGACATAGGGAGTTCTGCCAGCACGACGCCATATTTGGCTATCTGAGACAATGCCCCGTGCTTTCAACAAGGGCTCAATAAATCCAAAGCAAATCCTTGGCTCTGTAAAACCGTATTGTGGTAAACGAAAATCGGTGATGTCGTTTATTTTGGCCAGTGCCTCGCTGCCACTTCTCCGCTTGGTCGGTGTACCGGGCTGATTAGGCGACGACAGTATAGATATAAGGATATTAGTGCAAAGTGGAGAGCAAATATGAGACCACAAACAAAAAATTACAATGAAAATACAAAATGGAAAAAATAAGTACACAGATACGCGAAAACAATTCGTGCCCAAAACGGGCTGAGCAATTAATTTGTAGGGGACTGTCTAGAGAGCTCAATAAAATAACAAATATGCGAATAAAAACCCAAGTCAACGAGAATCTTCTGTAACCATATTGTCGATGAAGTTGAAGACTGAAAGATCAGTTCATGGTTGTTTGCTCAAGCCCAACTCCTCCATATTTTTCGGGGGAATCATCGATACTGCAGTCATCGTTCGCTGTTCAGTGGAATACAGAAAACTATCAGAAGTATTGTCGTGATTTATTGTTATAACATTTATTCTTAGACCTTGTGTGTAACAGCCTTATTGTTGGTTACATATTGGCGTAAGAATAAAGGATTCTGGAGTCGCCAATCTTTGTTCTGGTCTTTCACGTTGGTTATCACAAATTGTTTCTGAAAGTCTTCCAGGGACGGCGTGAGGTCCAGCGTCGTAAGAGACGGACGATGACAAATTCTGACAGTTTCTGTTCGTCTTTCCGGGTATCTGCAAGTGTTCTTTTGACGAGTATTATCTGGAACTTTTCTGGACTGTTTGGTCAAGTTCAGTGATACCTGGGTGAATGAAGGGACTGTTATGTACTGGTCGAGTAATTAATAGTCCTGACGCAAGAAGGAGGAAATCAGAAAACCACCAGGTTGACGATGATACTTGTATTCTTCAAACAAGGAAAATCAATGTCACACAAGTATATGAGCGAATGTTCAAAAATGAACGAATCGATAGACAGTCTTAACATGATTGATTGTAATGTTATGTGACAACAAGGTCAGACATGTTTGTTTAGTTAGTGGACAGGCAAAAACATATTGTCGATTATAATGGAATATCGATCTATATATACATAGCAAAATATAACAGACTGTCTAAAACAAACACACATATTATGTGGATACATATCGCCTCCCCTTTTGAGAAGATTGATGATTAATAGCGTGCTTTCTTGGGGTTTATCTGAAACCGTTCAGTTTGTTGTCGACGTCTGTTGCTTCGTCTGCTTGTTGAGTTTGCGGCTTCTGCTTTGTCTGGAGTTGTCTGAGCTGCGCAATTTTGCTTTTCTGTTTTGTCAGTCGTAGGTAAGTTAAAAGTATCTAAGAGCATATCCAGAGGTAGAGATGACTGTGTACTGGTAGGGATATTTGAGTTTCTTGGACACTGCTGATTGTAGTGACGGGTCCATAAATCATTACCAACTTTCACGTCGTACATAACTCGACCACGTCGCGCTGCGATGGAACCTTTATTCCAAGGTTTATGTCCTCCTCGATAGTCGCGGACATAGATAGGGTCACCAACATCAAATTTTTTTCATTCCGAAATGATGCGTTTGGGTGTCGGTGGTAACATTGAGTTGTGAATCGTTCTAAGTTTGCGTCCGTAAAGAATTTCTGCCGGCGATTTCTTGTTCTGTGTTGACTCATTCGCCGTTGTACGGTACACCATCAAGAATTTTTGGATGATGTCAAATGGTGTCCCCTCTCCCTCTGCTTTGAGTAAGGCTCTCTTCAAAGTGTCGACAAAACGTTCCGCTTGGCCGTTTGACTGAGGATGATACGGCGGTGTGAACATATGCTCGATAGCATTTTGACGACAGAACTGCTGAAACTGATGAGAGGTAAACTGCGAACCATTGTCTGTAACTATGGTTTCTGGGAGACCATGATGGGAGAATATGTCAGTGAGAGCTTTGAGAGTCTGGGACGTTGTCGGCGAAACCATTGGTATAACTTCTGGCCACTTAGAAAAAGCGTCTACCACCACTAAATAATATGCACCATTTGTAGGGCCAGCAAAATCAATATGAATTCTGGACCAAGGATGGGATGCTGGAGGCCACGGTACGGGAGGTAGCTGGTGGGGTAGTTTTGCTGATTGTTGACATTTTGAACATCGTTGAACAAAGTCGATAATATGCTTATCCATATTAGGCCAGTATGCGTAGCTGCGAGCAATACTCTTCATCCGCTGAATACCAGGATGTCCCATGTGAAACTGTTTCAGGAGTTTATTTCGTAATGCTTCAGGTATCACTACGCGTTCTCCAAACATCAAGCAATCTTTTACAACACATAAGGAATCACGACGGGCAAACAGGTGTTTTAGGTCTCCACTATATTTAATCTTTGGCCAATTACTGGATACATACTGTGTAGCACGTCGTAAGGTGGCATCGGTGCTTGTAGTTCGCTGGATTTCTGCAAACGTTACTGGTAGAGATCGAACAGCATTGTCGATGAGGTTAACTGCATAGTCTTTGGTGGCGATCGATGCAATTACCATATCTTCACTTGATGCAGGATAGTCGCTAATTAGCCGAGATAGAGCGTCGGCTTGACCAAATTCGTTAGTTCGGTTGTATTTAATATCGAAATCGTATCCAAGTAATATTATTGCCCAGCGTTGTAGTCGGTTAGCTGCATGTACCGGGATACCTGATTTAGATCCGAAAATGGAAAGTAACGGTTTATGATCTGTCAGCAAGGTAAATCGGCGGCCGTAGATCATTTTATGGAAACGTCGTACGGCGAAAACTAAAGCTAAGGCTTCTTTTTCAATTTGTGCATATTTCTTTTCTGCCGCAGTTAGTGTTCGAGATGCATGCATTATTGCTTTTTGTGAACCATCTGGGAAGACATGTAAAATGACAGCTCCCACTCCGCTTGCTGAAGCGTCCGCTGCAACTATAATTGGAAGTGTTGGACTATAATGTGTCAGAAGCAATTCAGAAGTTAACATAGACTTCAACTTTTCAAAAGCTGATCTGCAAGCTTCGGACCATTTCCAGGTTGCATTCTTTTCGAGTAGTCGATTGAGGGGTGTCGAACATTATGCAGCGCAGGGAGAAATGCCGAGTAATAGCTAATTAATCCCAAGAAAGAGCGTAAGGAAGGCACGTCAGTAGGTGCGGGCATCTCTTTTATAGCACGTATGTTGTCAGGATCTGGACGCCTACCCGATGCATCAAATATAAATCCAAGGTATTTGACAGATCTCAAGGAGAACTGACACTTCTCTGAGCGTAGTCGTAGACCGTTGTCCTGCATGCGTGACAAGACAGCTTCTGTCCTGCTGTAAAGTTCGTTTATAGAATTCGCTACCACCAAGATGTCATCAAGATAGACGGCAACACCCGGAATACCTGCCAAGATAGTATCCATCAGTTGTTGGAAAATAGCTGGGGCAGTTTTAACTCCGAAAGGTAATCTGTTGTATTGGAACAAACCGCGATGTGTATTAATGGTAAGGAGTTCTCGGCATTCTGGGGCTACTTCAACTTGTAGATATGCGTCAGCAAGATCCAGTTTTGCAAAATAAGATCCACCATTTAAAACAGTGAATAAATCATCCGGCGTAGGTAAAGGATAGTGGTGCTGTTCTAATGCAGCATTCAACCCAGTAGAGAAATCAGCACAAATACGTAGGGACCCATTCGCTTTCTTGACAACGACGATGGGTGCTGCCCATGCCGAGTACGTGACTGGTGTTAATACGCCTTGTTGTTGCAGTCTCTCCAATTCTTCGTCAACTTTTGGTACAGATGCATATGGGACTGGCCTCTTTGGGCGAAAAACCGGTTTTGCGTCTGGTAATACTCGAAAGGTAGCTTGCAGCGAGGTACAGTGACCTAATCCGGGTTGAAAAACAGGTGCGAATAGTTTGCATAAATCAGAAAAGGAGTTGGCTGAATTTTCATCCTTGTTAACTGCGTTGCATACAGAACTAAGTGGGACATCAGCCAGATGTAAACGATCGAACCAATCAAGTCCCAAAAGATTTAAATCACTCTTGGTGACGTAACAAATTCCTGTGAATTTGATATTGCGGAAGGAAACAGAACATTTGAGTTCACCAATTAGTTTGAGGCGCCCACCACAGGCGCTGACAGCAGTCTGAGAAGTATTTGCGATTGGTGGTCTGCCAATATTATTCCAAAGTTTCTCTGATATAACAGTAATATCAGAGGCGGTATCTAGCTGCAGACGTGCATCATGACCATTCATCTGAAGATCAAGATATTTCCGCATACATGGTGTTGTGACTTGACAGGTTGCGAGTAGACTCATTGACGTTTTGGGGATTTAGGACCGACAGTTTGTCGAGCTTCCGCTGGATTATGACATCTGTGTGGCGTGGATGACAAAAACCATTTTTATGACCGACGATTTTGCACTTGCTGCAACGATGATTTTTGTACGGACAAGACTTTACAAAGTGCCACGCGCCACAATGCCAGCATGGTGATGGTGGGGTCTTCTTTGCAGTATTTTGTGAAGTTGGACGAGTATGTGTAGATTTCCGCGGAACATTAGAAGAAGGTGGGTCAGGACTGGATGATGAGAGATTTTTGCTCTTTCGTAATGCACGAATATCAGAGCTTCTCGAAGGTGTTGATTCGACCAGGTGTGTGTCTTTCTGCAAATTAATCAGCCGTTGATATTCATCAGCTATGTCATGTAATGTTAACTTAGGATTTTGTTCTAGCTGATTGAGCAGTCGAGTTCGGATATCTGTGAAACGAGGAGATTGGAGACTGCATATGAGGATCAAGGCTTTGAATTGATCATCTGTTAAGGACCTGAGTCGAAATCTCTCACATTCTCGGTTGACTGTGCCAACGTGAGTAAGAAAATCATCATTTTCATTCATTGTCAGCTTGAGGCAACGATAACGTATGCTGAATAATGAGGAGTGGTCTCCAAAATGTTCACGCAGCAGCTTTATTGTTTCATCGAAACACTTGTCACGTGGTTTCTGGGGTAAAATTAGGTTGCAGTACCTCTCATATTCTGCGGGACCCAATTTACGTAATAACACTCGCACCTTCCAAGCATCGTCTTGTAATGCGAGATCAACTGTGAATAAATCTTCATAACGTTGTTACCAAGTGTCAAAAGTGGCATTCGCATCTGGATCATAATTGAATTGTGAAATACTATTCACAATGCCGTCGACAGATTGTAGCATGATATGATTCGGATTGCTTGAAGGTGAAGTTGAATCAGCCTGTTGGTTGATGAGCATTTCCATCAATTTCATTTGTCGTTCAAATAGTAATTCCAATTTAGAGGAATCCATAGTTTTCCCCGTCGCCAAATTGTTATGTACTCATCGCCAAGTTATCGTTATGTACTGGTCGAGAATTTAATAGTCCTGACGCAAGAAGGCGGAAATCAGAAGACCACTAGGTTTGCGATGATACTTCTATTTTCCAAACACAAGGAGAAGCAATAAGTGGTATCACACCAAAAGTAGTCACACAAGATTGTGAGAGCGAAATATATATGAATGTCCAGACAAGTGTGTGAACAAATCAGTAGACAGTTTTAACATGAATGGTTAATTATAATGGAGTGTCGATCCATATATACATAGCAAAATATAGCAGACATGTCAACAACCACACATATAATATGGATATATGTCACCAAGCGACGGACCGTCAACAAACACCCATATTATATATAATATAAGGGCAATATACATTGTTAAAGGAGACAGGTTCATCAAAGTGAAATGGTCACAGAATAAGAGAGCAAACAGAAAGAGAGACCACCATACACACACATATATATGGATACATATCACCTCCCCTTTTGAGAAAATTGATGATTAGTAGGATGTTTTCCTGGGGGTTTATCTGGAACCTTTGGGCTTGTTGTTGACGTCTGTCGTTTCGTCTACTTGTTGGGTTTGCGGCTTCGGCTTCGTCCGGAGTTGTCTGACATTTTATGCTTCTTGACTGCATTGCATAGCGAATTTAGTGGGACATCAGCCAGATGCAAACTATCGAACCAATCAAGTCCCAAAAGATTTAAATCACTCTTGGTGACGTAGCAAATTCCTGTGAATTTGATATTGCGGAAGGAAACAGAACATTTGAGTTCACCAGTTAGTTCGAGGCGCCCACCACAGGCGCTGACAGCAGTCTGAGAAGTATTTGCGATTGGTGGTCTGCTAATGTTATCCCAAAGTCTCTCTGATATAACAGTAATTTTCCCCGTCGCCAAATTATTGTTATATACTGGTCGAGTAATTAATAGTCCTGACGCAAGAAGGAGGAAATCAGAAAACCACCAGGTTGACGATGATACTTGTATTCTTCAAACAAGGAAAATCAATGTCACACAAGTATATGAGCGAATGTTCAAAAATGAACGAATCGATAGACAGTCTTAACATGATTGATTGTAATGTTATGTGACAACAAGGTCAGACATGTTTGTTTAGTTAGTGGACAGGCAAAAACATATTGTCGATTATAATGGAATATCGATCTTTATATACATAGCAAAATATAACAGACTGTCTAAAACAAACACACATATTATGTGGATACATATCAGGGACAAAGCGTCTTGGAAGCAGACAGGAAAGTAAGTAATCCTGATTTGCTTGTTAATTGTAATGATATGTATGATGCTCGGCATGATATCTGTGTTGTTCATGTTTCGTCGTCTATGGAAAAGAGGAATTTTAATCTGCCTAAATGTGAACGCTAGTGTTTCGACGGAAAACCAGCTGACTATCCACAGTTTGTGAAGGAGTTTGAATTCATGTTGAGTGGGCTTGCAATAAATGACGAAATGAGGTTAATTTATTTGTTGAGGTAATGCACCGGTGTTCCTGCAAGAGCTATACAGTGCTGTAAGTTCATGCGCCCAAACGAAGGATATACAGAGGCAATGAGGTCATTACGTCAAAGGTTTGGAATGCCATTTATGATATCCCGTAGCATTTTTGAGACCGTGAAAGGCAGTGGGGGCACAGTTAAGAGACAATCCCGAGGATCTCGCAGAGTTCTTATATAATTTAATGGTATACAGAAACACTTGTTTATCTTAACAATGTGGATGAGTTGAACTCAAGTTCGGTGCTTGAGACAGTTGTCAAGTAATTACCGTTTCGTCTAGAAAGGAAGTTCATAAAGATTAGTTCCAGGCTAGAGTAAGATGGTTTGGAGCCTGGGTTCGATGATATTCTGAAACTGGTGAAAGATAGTATCAATCAAGCTATGAGCAAGTTTGCCAGTATATTGCATCCCACCCCTAGAATAGAGGAATCAGAGAGCAAAACGCTATCATTTATGACGAAGGGGTCTCATAGAAGTGGATATCGAGAAAGCTTTATGGCGTCTAGTAATGCATATAAACTAAGTGAGTGTAACAGCCTTCGTGGGACATCCCCAACAGACAGGTTACAAGTTGCGAGACAGACGCGGTTGTGTTGTACACGTATACAAGAAGTGCATAGAAAGGCAAACTGTGAAGAAGTGAGCAAGTTTAGTGGTAAGCTAAATGTGAAATCAAGTTCTGATTCCGAACCGTGTGACGATAACGGTGCAGTGAATAAGCCTGCAGTTGCAACTGGTAAGCCATTGTTGAATAGAGTATCACAGACGACACCGCAGTTTGTGCAGGAGGAGAGAATTACAGGTTCAGAGTCCAGTTCTGACTCCACAAGTTTACAAGGTATTACTAGTCAAATTAAAGGTATAAAACCTTTTAAGGATTTGTGAGGAAGAACCCAAATCAACTACTGCTGTTATTACAGAGTTTGAAAATGATGAAGTCAAACAGATAGACGATAGTAGAGTGAATAATTGTGCAAATGATCATGATAGTGCACTTTTGTCTTCGGTTGATCATGATGAGATGAGGGGAATGCCTACTACTGCTGAGGCGAACAAAGGTTCTGCACAGCTTGAACGGGAGGTAGACTTAAAGGCAGATGCGGTTGCAGAAGTTATGGATACTCGTGCGATTGTCAGTGTAAATGATCAGCGTGTAGCCCACCTACGGATGGACGTTTAGGCTGAACGGGTGCTAGTCATAAAAGATAGCAATGGTGGTAATTCTACACTTAGACAAACTTCTAAAAGCCGAACAACAACAGCTTCTGATCATCCGCCAAGTTCATCAACTGGTGTCGGTCAGTCGTCGTTGGTGTTGTCATCCACAATGAAATCGACGTCCACGAACTCACATGCCTTACGCTATGACTGTGCTAGTATAGGTCCGTTTGAAAGGACGGAAGTCAATGATCACTTTAGTGAGGATGAGCCAAATGTGCATGAGAGGGTAATTGTTAAACTGACTTGCACGAATAAAGGCATTTCAAGTTACTATTTGAATGTTATTAACTCTGGTGTAAATTGCTCTGTGCATACGCTTGGTTGGTCAAATACGTCGTATGTTTGTTAGTCATCTACATTCCACGATACAATGTCACGGGCGTGTCACTGTTCAGAGTTGAGGATATAGATGGTAGAAGGAAGTCAGCAAATGAACTCTGCAACGATTTTCCAACCCAGGGTGTCAACCTGAGAAGGGTTACAGGCGTACTGGTGTAAGTCCTGCGATTCTTCAAATAATTCCATCAAGACATGATCTGCGAAGTTATGTATACTGTTTGTATATATGTGTGGTGTGTCATATCAATTGTTTTTCGATTCACTAAAACAAAGGTCGAACAACCCTGCATCTAAACTGAAATGTGGATTAATTCCAAACCATCTATCTCATAACCACTCAAATTCCATGAACGATCCAATTCTACCATTTGAAGACGCTGGCGAACATGCTGTAAATGAGTATTCATGATCTGAAATGAAGAAGCAACTGGTTTTTAAACAGTTTTCAACATTTTTTCTGAACTTACGAATACAGTCCGCCATGCAGACACAAATGGAGCAAATGGAGAATTCTGGAATCGACCTCGGCACCACTTGATGCAGTAAAACAACCCAACATGACCTTATCTAGTTTTCGTATCCACGATCAAATTTCTTTCCTGTTATAAAACTACGATAAGACTACCGAAAAAATGGAATAAATATATCACTGATCTCAACATAATACATCAATAAGCTTTAAGCCAAGGGTGCTGTTCACAATAAAGCTATGTTAGAGAATTGACTTCAAGCTTTTTTTCCCAGATATCCGTATTACATTCATCTGATGTTTGGGTTTTTTTAATGCGAAGACAATATTTCTATATCTCTTTATGTGCTACACAAACAGAATATATAGCAGACTGTTCCGACTGACTCTCATGTCAGAGAGAA